GGGCCAATGGCACCAGACGCACCCTGGGGGCGCAGGGCCCTGGAGTTGGCGTACCTGTTTCCCATCAGTACGGACGAAGCGTAACTTAGCTTTCTAACCCTTCTCTCCAAAGGGAAATAAGGACCTGACCCAGGGAGTGTCTCCCCTGCTCGGGTCTTGGGGCGTCGCGCCGGGCTTTCGAACATCGAGCCTCAGCAGCGGCGGGTGGCCTTCGGGAAACCCCAAACGAGCTTTTACTTCAGTGACGATCTGTGCACACACGTGCTAACACCGGCGGGGCGGCCCGGGATGGCGGGTGCAGGGCCGAGCAGCGCAGCGCGCGTCCCGGAGGCTGACACCCTCGTACAGTCACAGGCGGGGGAGGAGAGCCCGAACACGCAAGGCTCCTGGTCGGTACCCCACGGCCCTCTCTCTGCCCCTCTGCCCCACTGTCTCCCGTCCCCTTTGTATATCTTGGAGGCTAGGTTGTCAGAAACATTTTTAATTCGGCCAAAACAAAACGCGAATTTTTGTGCTAAGCCCACACGCCTGCTCATCCGGGACTCGTCAGGCCAACGGAGACTGCAGGACGCGAGGTTCGGGCCTTTCCACTCTTTCAGGCCACCAACCCATCCCTGGAACTGGGGGCTGGCCTTTGCGGATGGCTCCAGCTCAAGCGTGTTTCTGCTTTTGCTCTCCAGAAGCCCTTTGTTTCCACTGCTCAGCACCCACCCTTCACCCCGGGTTCCTTGGTGGGTCCTCCCCTACTCACACGCTCCCCTAGGGGACCGTCTAGGCTCCACAAGCCCAACCCCCTGGCCCTGCTGTGGCCGAAGGCGCCTTAGGGCAGCGGGAGCTGTTGTGCCTCAGAGCAACGCGGCAGCTCTGGCCACTTCAGGAAATAAAGGGCGTCTCTGTATAGGGGCTCAGGCCTGGCTGCGGTGGCCTCCCGCGCAGTTCGTGAATTGCTCTCTGGCTTCTGAGGTGTCCCAGGCGTGACATGCAGAGGCCTCCCACCTTGCTCAGCTTGCTAACGTTGCTGAGGGTATTTCCCCCCATGGGAGGAGCGGGGTGAGGTATCAAGTGAAACAAGGTAACTGGTGGAGCTGAGCGGTGGAGGTTAGGACGGGGTGCCTGGGGAGAGCGGTAAAGCTATCAGGTCACAGCGCAGGGCTCCGAGGTATCCCTGAGAAGAGGCAGCAGGAGGCTTGGGCTGGGGGGTCTCGGGCAGGCACTGACCAGGAGGCACTCGCGGCTTTGCCAGGCAGGCAGCGCTGAAGGGAGGCCAACTGAGGGCACTGGCGATGGGGGAGATGCCAGTGAGTACTTGTGGGTAAGGGGACAGGCAGCGCCAACTGGAAGCACAGTGAGGGTGCTGGGGGCGGGGGAGGGGAGGGGAGTTAAGTGGGCGAACTGGTCACGTGAGATCCAAGTTCTCACCGAGCCCAGGCTGACATTTATGCTGTGAAAAGTTGAAGGTTTTTTGTTCCTATGAAGGCTTTTAAAATAGTTTTAGGAAACAAAACATGTATGAATTAACTATTATGAGCTTTCTTTTGATGTCTATTTTCAGTCCAGAAGCATGTCTCACTTTACAAAAAGTAAAATCCCAAGTTAGAAGGCATAGGGGGTGGTGGGGTACAACACTAATTCATCTTAGTTTGACAAGATGACTCACTGGAGTTTCCTTCGAGACAGGAGGCATTCAGAGGTGCATAGTTCAGATAAACTAAAACAATATAGAGCAAGTTTCAGTTACCTCTTTCAGTGAGACAGAGGGATCCACTTAGCTAACCAAAAGGACATCTGTAGAAAGATGCATTCCTGATTTTTAACTATGAGGGAGAGCAGTATAAAAACAGGAATGTCAGCTTGGCATTTTCCAAGTCAGTGACAGAAAGACATCACACATATGATTAAGACTGGAAATTAGGGGATCATTTAGGGGACAAATACAACCACAATCTGTTGACCTGCAGTAAATGAAGTACCTATTGACTGAATGTAATCAGAGAAACAATACTGCATGTGGGTGTTTTTATGGGAGCACTACAACTTGGGGGCCTACAAAATGGCAGAGTGGCTCAAGTTTGGGCTTGGCCACACGTCCACTGGCTCTACATGGGGGGGGGGGCCAAGGAAACAGAACCACAGGCAGCTGAGTCCTGCCCAGCAAGAAAGTTTCAGACAGCATTAGCGCATCAGAATTACAGTGAAACGAAAAATAAAAATGTGCTAACTTCAGGCCCCCTGAACATGAATCTCCTAGGGAGGGACCTGGGCACGTGTGTGTCCAAGAGCCTCTGCAGGTGGTTGTGATTGGCCATGGGGGGCTGGGCCCCACAAAGCTTGGGCTCCAAAGGGAGGGTCCATCTGCATCTCACCCTGGCATCAAGAGAGGAAACACTGAAAGGGCTGTTTTTATATGTAAAAACTCTGCAAAATCTCACGAGGTAAGACAGCCTTCCCGTGGTTACCCTTTACCAGAGAGAAAGTGCAGGTTCTCCCACCTGCCCCGAACGCCATATGGAACCTGCCCCTGGGGCCAGTGCACAGGGCTGTCACCCAGAGCAAAGGCAGTCGCTGGTGCCAAGGTGTGTTCCTGAGTTCATGAGCCTTCTCCTTAGGGCCTCCCAGAAGCACTGGGTGGAGGATGCTCTGCAAAAGCAGGTGGGGACTGAACTGGGAGATGAGAGCACGTCAGTGATGATTAAATGGGAAGTAGGAGAGCTGCCTAAACGGCTCTGCACTCTGGGCTCTGTGAAGGTGAAGACACCTTACTGGATCTTAAAGGTTCTCTGACCCACTGTCAACTGGATTTAAGACATAGCAACCATGAAGCTCTTACTTCCTCGGATGTAAAAAATGATCTTTGAGGCAGGCTGTGGTCCCATTTTTTTTGGATTTTATAGACCAGTAAATGTCAAATAAAACTTTTGGGAGTTGACATATGGTTATCAACTTTTATATCAAGGACAATTAAAAGGATTAAAACTATGATATACTATCATCATCATAAAAAAGAGTACTATTTTAATATCACAAAGGGAGGATAACTTCAGAATTTAAAAAACACATATTCAACTTTAAAAACATCCCTAAACTGTCCTTGGCTTTCTCATTTTCTGTGGACTGATGAAAAGTTTATCACCAACTCATCCGTGCAAACTAAGGCTCCTTTGCTTTGAACACTTAGGGGCAGGCACCTACTTACAGATACTGTTAATTTACTTGAGGAAGTGGCTTTAAGGGGACCATGAGGATCTTAAGTGCCTGTCTCTCAGGATCTTGCCTCAGTTTCCAGTTTCAATAACTGTTGAGTGTGAACAACCAGAAACTCCATTGCTTTAAAGAGAAGTAAAAAAGACAGATTGTGGTAAATAGTATCAGGGAAACTTGAAGCTGGAAGCTTTCTTAGTAATGATCTCATCCCTGTGGTTTTCAAGCTAGAGCTCCATAGAGTCACAGCGGTGGTGTGTGAACCAACAGATCTCCCTTTCAGTTGTTGAAAATAATTGTGTTTCCAATTAAGACAGAGTTCAATTGCTTAAAAAAAGGGCGAACACCACTGATACAGCTCATCACAAATTTAAAGGGGAAACTGAGGCTGAGAAAAGCCCCCTGGGACTTGCTGGGGCCCCTATTTAACAGGCAGAATGCGGCACACCCCCAGGGGGGTGGAGTAGGGTTATTACTGTCACTCCTTCATTGTGTCTGTCCCCAGATTCATCAAGGTTGAACCAAACATTCCCATTGCTCCACTGCAGGGAAGTGAACACTTTCTCTTTAGGAACGTTCTGACTGGCTCCTTTCCATCTTGGACGCTGTCCTCTGCTTGGCACACTACTTCTGCATGATATTAATGACAAATATTTCACTGACAATGGTTCAAAACTAATTTTTAAACTTCAGGTCCATATTTTTTATCCTATTTTGACTATCTCTGTTTAAAATCTCTTTAATAGTATTTCATTATATTTGAGGAGTATAGAACTAATATTTGTATGAATATCATTTTATGATTCTACGGTCATGTCTATGTAAAAATGTGGAAAGGTATTTTATTTAATGAAAGATACATTTTTACTAAAATGACTGAACTCTACTGTCTGGTCTATAAACTGCGATGAAGAGACATCTACTTGCTATCCGAGCTCCTTGCACAGCTGACCACACAGCAGGCTACCAACATGTATATGTATGTCAAGCCTGCACAGACTGCACCACACGATGACTGCAGCGAGGATCTCATCAGTGGTGAAACACAGCATTTTCTAGGTCTGGACACAACTCAGCTCCAAGTAGCAAAAAAAAAAGAATAACTATATGAAAATTGTGATTTTCAAACTATGGTTTCTAATCATTAATGGGTCATGAAATCAATTTAGTGGGTTATGAGAGCATGAAAACACACACACAAAAGCCGAAAGAGTAACAGAAGATGAAATGTCAAGGCATGTTGCATGCTGTATGGGTACTGTTTCATAAACATGTTATTTCAATCATGTATTAACACCTATGCACTGGGCCATGATACCAAATGTACCTCACAGCCTTCAACATCGCTCTAGAGAGAAATGTACTTGGCCCTGGTGGCATGCTGCCACGGCTGCATACTCTCAAGGCCCTCTCCCCTGGGCACCGTTCCCTGGCTTACTGCTCTTTTCTGGACACACCTTCAGCTCCAGTGAGCTCAACTGAGGGAAGCTGCCATGGTGCCTCTGACTGTGGGGTGAATACAGGCCTCAGGTCCCTGCCCCCATGCTAGGCATGACACCAGGGGCTTTCAGATGCAATTCTTACCAGCTACAGCTTCCTGACTCTTCCCGGTGGCCATGCTCACCTGCACACCCTGAGCTCCTGGCACAGAACACACAGGGGCTGAGGGGATGCTTCCAAAGGAATGAATTCAACAGTGAACACACTCCATTGGTTATAAACCATATACATTAAATCCAATAAAATATAAAAGTTCCAAATAAAACAAAATGTCTACTCATTTCTTCACACTTAATACAAAATTACTATACAAAGCTTTATTTATATTGATTAAATTATAATAGTTGTATAAAAAATTGAGGCATTGGCGTCCTGTGGTTAATGATAGTAACTATATTCCTTCAACATCCTATCTCATATAAAGTGATACAACACTGACCTTTTGATTCTGAGCAGTACGAACTTACTATTTTAACAAACACATATATTCAGTGCTAGTTATTATTTCCACTTAAAATAATTTAATAGTGCATGATACTGAGGGAAGAAGAAAATAGTTAACAATAATTTTCCAAGTGCTAGTAAGAAACACATCAATGTGCCCCTGATCTGGGGGCAAGGTTAATGTGCCTGTGTAATGGGATCTGGGGAACTGAACCCCAGAATTAACTGAATCCATTTATTTTGAATTGAAAAGACACTCATCATCTTCCATATTAGAATACAGCTGCATGCCAGGGCATGAGACTTACCTAAGGCCACACAAAGACATAGTAAGAGAGATGCCCCCGGTCTCCAACAAACCTATGATCTTTTCTACTTCATAACAGGCTTATACTATAATAAATCACATCTTTTAAAAGATCAAATCAGTTATCAATGAAAACAAATACATGATAATGTTTTAGACATTAAAAAAACCCCTAGGATAAGAGTTTAATTAAAATGTATATTAACAACTGTGTTCAAAAAAACCTAAGTAATGTGGAAATCACCTACTTGTTATTTATATTTACTCCTGGGTATTAGTTGTGCTTTCACCTGTATCACTGGAGTTAAATTTCTTCCACAAAAATTTCTCATTTGATTTCCAAAGAGAGGTTTCCAGGTCCTCTTTCTTTTTGGATGATGCAGCAAAGGGCACTTTTTCACACAGAGTCTCGATCGTGGCCAAGTCGGTGAGCTTCCTAAGACGGTCGTCATTCTGCTCATCCAAGATGTCCCAGAAATCTCTCGGTCTCCGTTTTGCCTTCTCCATGGGTCCTGAGAAAACTTTCCTTGGCAGGAGTGCAGGACTGTTGCCCTGACTTTTAAAGAGGTCGTCGAGAATAGAGGTGTCACCAAGTAACCCTACCACAGAAGTGTTTTCTAACACCACATTTTCTATCTTTCTGTTCTCCACACTGTAAAGGGGTTCTGTTGGAACGCCCATTCCTGTGAGGTCCTGTTGGTCGGTCTCGGTATATTCTAGGCCTTCTAATACATATGACTCAGACGTACTGTTGAGGGAACAGGGTGCTACAGTCTCTCTGGCTGTTTGGCTGTTCTTCCCATTGTCAGTCCCTAGGGTAGAGTTTATAGGTAATTTCTTAGTTTTGGCATCATTGGAAAGTACCTCCTCTGTACAGGAACCACGATTTTGAAACTTAATTGATTTTCCTTTATATATTTTTGGGCTGCAAATTTGAGAAATGTTTTTGGTAGAATCTTTAAATGACAAAGCTTCAGAATCTGACAGCCTTTCTTTTATAAGAGATTCTCTTTTTTTAGACTTTTTCCTGACTGTCTTTCCCTTGTCACAGGCAGATTTAATGAGTTCTGGAGCAGAATCCACAAAAAATTCTTTTACCTCTGGATACTGAGAAGCATAAAAGTCTCTTAGCATTTTCTGTCGTTCTTCTGATGTGGCATTAGCTATATGTTTAGCAAATTCCTTTATAGGAGACAAATTAAAATAAGAAGCCATTTCTTCAAATTGTTTTCTGAAGATTTAATGAACAAAACCAGTGGTTATTTTTATTACATTTTATTCTTAAGAACTTGTCATCAGTGATATGAAATGCAGAGACAAAGCAATGTCATCTTTTCATTTAATGTATATTAGCTTAGTTCTATAATGAAAATGAATTTTATGCTACCTGAGTGTGACCTCTTTTCTTACACTACTGAAAAAATATTTTAGCCCATGAAATTACCAGTTTTTTAGGTTATACAGATTTATACTATTGGGCATTTCCTGGCACCTGTGGGATCCCAGGATGCTCTCCACCAGTCAGCCAATTCATGACTGACATGAGAATCATGACTTACATAATCTACATTTGAAAATCTATATGGCATTCAAGTACCATGAAATAAAACTGCCTCAAAATGATCTTAATAGCAAAGAGAAAATTCTGAAAAATTAAGTAGAAACTTCCAAGGAAGTGGCTGAAGATCATGAGGGGTCCATCAGCCAACTTCAGAAATTTGAAATTTATCCTGCACCTGCCAGAGAACATTTAAGGGTAAATAATGATCTATTTGTAATGACTGTAAGTAAGAGCTTTAAAGCCATGACTATTTTGCCTCCAGAGCAGGAGCAAGAAGTTGGTGCATCGCCTTTGACCTTCAGCAGCGATCCGCACGGCATGCTTATGACTCTCTGGGGCTTCAGATGGCTGCGCTGGCGTCTAGGCACCAGCACACCGGCCCTGTAACTGTTCCAAGTCCAGATATTATCTAATGCTGATCAACAGCTCCTCTCACTGCCAGGAGAATATTTAATAACACAGATACAAGCTTCCAAATTTCTGTCCTGAAAACAGCCAATGTTCTTGTTGGAAAGCAACAGGCATGTTCTTAAAAGGTTCCAGTTTTCACTCCACATGAAGCAATGAGGTGTTATTATTTTATTGATCATCTCCAAATCCATTTTCATGGCCTTTTCAGTAAGTATTTGTGCTGTGAAGATTACGTTACTGGCAAGGTTACAGGCTGTGGTCTTTTACTTATCCAGGACTAGTGGTGTCTCAGCGGCTGTCCAAGTCCTGCCACCTCGGTGGTGCTGAGCTTACCCACGACCCTGCGGCCTGTGCCCTCTGGGAGGAGCTGCTTCCGACAGACTTTATCTATGTTACGCATGTTCATTTGGCCTTGCTGCTGCTCTTGATGGGCTGAGTTACAATTATGATTCATTTCATTTTTTGCCTTTTATATTGCTTTAAAGGAATTTTCTTTGGACACCTAAAGAACTGCAAGGTACAACCAGTGGACAAAAACCACCTGGTGTGGAAACTAGCAAACTGGAGTAGATACTCATAGCCTCTCAGAGGAGGGCAAAGAAAGGGAAACCGAAGTTGGGTACCACCCGGCAAGCGCGTCAGGTGTCACAGGTACAGCTCATTTCCCTGCTCTGTGCCCGAGGGACTGAGGGAGAAGAGGCGGGACAGTTAAGCTGGCATCCCCACCTATGCTTCCCGAGGTGAGGAGGCCGAGGGCTTCACTCAGGGCCTGCAGGCTGCAGCCTGACACAGATTCCCCATCCCATAACGCAGGGTGGTTAGCAGAGACAGGGGGTCAGCAGTCCCCCACTGCTCCCCAGGTCAGATGCTGGCATTCCAGTAGCAGACCCCCTTTACCTGCTCACCTACGCGAGACATTTGTTCCCTAGGCTAGGCAGAGAAAGGAGGAAGACTGGCAAAATGAATCATTGTTTATACTTGCATTCTATGGAAAGGGTCCAGAGGCATAAAGACACTGTGCTCCTCAAAGATGGGTAAGATGTATATGGTCAGCCTCCTGGCAAAATGACTGCCCACAGTCAGTTGCCCAATTTGCCCCAAATTGCTATGAATCTGTGAGGACATGTGTTGCCCCAGCAGTGTGGGGTGCTCACCTCTGGGCACTGGCTCACCTTTCTGAGCCACGCCTCACCTGGGCACCTGAGATGCTGAGGGACCAGCCCTGCCTGGGCAGCTAAGGGGCCAGTTGCTGGGAGCTGCCAAACTCCGGAGGGAAGAGACAGCAACACACAGCCCCCACTTCCCAGGCTCTGTCTGCAATGGGCGGGCATCAGGACCCATCCGGCCCTGCCTCCCATCCCTGCTGCCCCAGGCACTAGGCCCTGGTTACCTATATCCACCTGCCTCTCACCCCCTCCTAGTTTCTACGTCCCTGAGCTAATCTAATACCCTGTCCTTCTGGCCCACTCCTTGGGGATCCTGGAGCCAGGCTGTGATCTACCAGCGCCCGTGTCCCCTCTGTCCCTTCATGCTGCTGCCTCCTCCCGTGCAGACCTGGCAGGTCCCGGCTCTTCTACCTCACACCCTGAAACCTCAGGGTTCATGCTTCACACTGCTGCACCTGAACCAGTGTTCTTTTAAAAATGCCTCCCCTCTTTGAGGTCTGTGCTCGCCGGCTAAGCCACTCTCTCCCCTATGCTGTTAACTGACTCTTGGTTGCTTCCCACTAGTGACAGGACACTCCCCATCCTGGGTCAATGTTGCTTCCTTTCCCACTGCCATCACTCTTGAAAACATGTGGCTGTCCCACCCAACTCCTGGCCCACCCATTTCTTCACCTCCCCTCCAAAGACTCAATTCCCAGGGCATGAACGCCGCTGTCAGTGCCTTACTAGCACAGACTCCAGATCCCTGAATTCAGTCCTTACGCTCCAGTTCAACTGCTCAGTCACCCCCTTGACAGCACAGCCTAGAATATACTGTTGGCTTCCGCAAGTCCTCCTGCTCTTCGGCCCTGTCTCAACTGCCAGCCTCCCCTGGGCCAGCCTTGGTTCAGCTTTAGCCGCTCCTTCCCACATACCGTTCAGCCTCCTTGCTCCCTCCCTTCTAACCCCTGGGAGAACCCGGATGCCTCCCTCTCCTGTGTGCATGCGGTGACGGAGGCCGAGTGGGGTCTGCAGAACCGCAGACAGTCCTGCTGGAATTACTCTCAAACGGCAACATATTTAGCGTCACCCAGGAATGCTGGTCCCACCGAGCTTGCTTTCCCATTTATAAACGATTTATTTGAAAGCTTCTCTGTCCCCAAATTTCTCTTTCTGAACTGACTGTATTCCCAATTAACTGAGGACATAACACCATACCTGTCCTCATCCCTTCCTTTGAATTCCTCTCAACGGATGGACCTTCCCAAGGTCTGGATCCCACCCTGTCCTGCCCCCAGAATGTCGTCCTTTCTGCTGTCCTCCCTCTGGAACCATCTTCTTTTCCTTCAACACACACACACGAAGTCTATCATCTTCGGGTGTAAGGCACCTGCCCTTGGCGCACAATGCCCTCCAGCCCCTGCTGCTTCTCCCGTGGGGACCTGAGGCGTTGCCCACTCACTCCGCCCACCCGCCCTGGCGCTCCCCGTGGCTCGGACCACCCAAGGCCAGCTCGCTGCTGGCGGCTCCAGGAGGCACCTTTATGGTTCTCGGCAGCAGCTCGTCCCCTGTGAGACTCTCACTTCTGGACCTCAGGACCTTGCGAGGTGCCGCAGACCCAGCGGGCGGGCCGCTGCTGCCTCCGGGCTCAGCCCTGGGGCCTCCCCTCCCCTCTCTGTGCTGCGCTAGGCTGTTCATGTGCCCATGGCTCTAAACACTATTTACAGTCTCGATGCTGATGACTTCCAAATTTAGGTCTCCAGGCCCCCATCCCGGACCAGCCCAGTCACTCCCTATTGTATATTTCTGTAGAACCTCAGATTGATATGAGCCATGGAGAACTCTTACCTTTTTTTATTCCAAACTTCTCTCTTGCTTTTTTCCATTTAGTAATTCAATCTGTTGCTCACGTCAGAACATTGGAAATAATCCCGTCTTCTCTCTTTCCCAACAATTAATCCAACACCAAACTGAACTCTTCCCTGTGGCTGTCTCCAGGGCAACCACTCTACTGCAACCCCTGTCACCGGGACCGTATGGTACCCCCCACCCACTGGGCCCTACTGCACACCAGAGCCAGAAAATAACTGTTGAGTGTGAACAACCAGAAACTCCATTGCTTTAAAGAGAAGTAAAAAAGACAGATTGTGGTAAATAGTATCAGGGAAACTTGAAGCTGGAAGCTTTCTTAGTAATGATCTCATCCCTGTGGTTTTCAAGCTAGAGCTCCATAGAGTCACAGCGGTGGTGTGTGAACCAACAGATCTCCCTTTCAGTTGTTGAAAATAATTGTGTTTCCAATTAAGACAGAGTTCAATTGCTTAAAAAAAGGGCGAACACCACTGATACAGCTCATCACAAATTTAAAGGGGAAACTGAGGCTGAGAAAAGCCCCCTGGGACTTGCTGGGGCCCCTATTTAACAGGCAGAATGCGGCACACCCCCAGGGGGGTGGAGTAGGGTTATTACTGTCACTCCTTCATTGTGTCTGTCCCCAGATTCATCAAGGTTGAACCAAACATTCCCATTGCTCCACTGCAGGGAAGTGAACACTTTCTCTTTAGGAACGTTCTGACTGGCTCCTTTCCATCTTGGACGCTGTCCTCTGCTTGGCACACTACTTCTGCATGATATTAATGACAAATATTTCACTGACAATGGTTCAAAACTAATTTTTAAACTTCAGGTCCATATTTTTTATCCTATTTTGACTATCTCTGTTTAAAATCTCTTTAATAGTATTTCATTATATTTGAGGAGTATAGAACTAATATTTGTATGAATATCATTTTATGATTCTACGGTCATGTCTATGTAAAAATGTGGAAAGGTATTTTATTTAATGAAAGATACATTTTTACTAAAATGACTGAACTCTACTGTCTGGTCTATAAACTGCGATGAAGAGACATCTACTTGCTATCCGAGCTCCTTGCACAGCTGACCACACAGCAGGCTACCAACATGTATATGTATGTCAAGCCTGCACAGACTGCACCACACGATGACTGCAGCGAGGATCTCATCAGTGGTGAAACACAGCATTTTCTAGGTCTGGACACAACTCAGCTCCAAGTAGCAAAAAAAAAAGAATAACTATATGAAAATTGTGATTTTCAAACTATGGTTTCTAATCATTAATGGGTCATGAAATCAATTTAGTGGGTTATGAGAGCATGAAAACACACACACAAAAGCCGAAAGAGTAACAGAAGATGAAATGTCAAGGCATGTTGCATGCTGTATGGGTACTGTTTCATAAACATGTTATTTCAATCATGTATTAACACCTATGCACTGGGCCATGATACCAAATGTACCTCACAGCCTTCAACATCGCTCTAGAGAGAAATGTACTTGGCCCTGGTGGCATGCTGCCACGGCTGCATACTCTCAAGGCCCTCTCCCCTGGGCACCGTTCCCTGGCTTACTGCTCTTTTCTGGACACACCTTCAGCTCCAGTGAGCTCAACTGAGGGAAGCTGCCATGGTGCCTCTGACTGTGGGGTGAATACAGGCCTCAGGTCCCTGCCCCCATGCTAGGCATGACACCAGGGGCTTTCAGATGCAATTCTTACCAGCTACAGCTTCCTGACTCTTCCCGGTGGCCATGCTCACCTGCACACCCTGAGCTCCTGGCACAGAACACACAGGGGCTGAGGGGATGCTTCCAAAGGAATGAATTCAACAGTGAACACACTCCATTGGTTATAAACCATATACATTAAATCCAATAAAATATAAAAGTTCCAAATAAAACAAAATGTCTACTCATTTCTTCACACTTAATACAAAATTACTATACAAAGCTTTATTTATATTGATTAAATTATAATAGTTGTATAAAAAATTGAGGCATTGGCGTCCTGTGGTTAATGATAGTAACTATATTCCTTCAACATCCTATCTCATATAAAGTGATACAACACTGACCTTTTGATTCTGAGCAGTACGAACTTACTATTTTAACAAACACATATATTCAGTGCTAGTTATTATTTCCACTTAAAATAATTTAATAGTGCATGATACTGAGGGAAGAAGAAAATAGTTAACAATAATTTTCCAAGTGCTAGTAAGAAACACATCAATGTGCCCCTGATCTGGGGGCAAGGTTAATGTGCCTGTGTAATGGGATCTGGGGAACTGAACCCCAGAATTAACTGAATCCATTTATTTTGAATTGAAAAGACACTCATCATCTTCCATATTAGAATACAGCTGCATGCCAGGGCATGAGACTTACCTAAGGCCACACAAAGACATAGTAAGAGAGATGCCCCCGGTCTCCAACAAACCTATGATCTTTTCTACTTCATAACAGGCTTATACTATAATAAATCACATCTTTTAAAAGATCAAATCAGTTATCAATGAAAACAAATACATGATAATGTTTTAGACATTAAAAAAACCCCTAGGATAAGAGTTTAATTAAAATGTATATTAACAACTGTGTTCAAAAAAACCTAAGTAATGTGGAAATCACCTACTTGTTATTTATATTTACTCCTGGGTATTAGTTGTGCTTTCACCTGTATCACTGGAGTTAAATTTCTTCCACAAAAATTTCTCATTTGATTTCCAAAGAGAGGTTTCCAGGTCCTCTTTCTTTTTGGATGATGCAGCAAAGGGCACTTTTTCACACAGAGTCTCGATCGTGGCCAAGTCGGTGAGCTTCCTAAGACGGTCGTCATTCTGCTCATCCAAGATGTCCCAGAAATCTCTCGGTCTCCGTTTTGCCTTCTCCATGGGTCCTGAGAAAACTTTCCTTGGCAGGAGTGCAGGACTGTTGCCCTGACTTTTAAAGAGGTCGTCGAGAATAGAGGTGTCACCAAGTAACCCTACCACAGAAGTGTTTTCTAACACCACATTTTCTATCTTTCTGTTCTCCACACTGTAAAGGGGTTCTGTTGGAACGCCCATTCCTGTGAGGTCCTGTTGGTCGGTCTCGGTATATTCTAGGCCTTCTAATACATATGACTCAGACGTACTGTTGAGGGAACAGGGTGCTACAGTCTCTCTGGCTGTTTGGCTGTTCTTCCCATTGTCAGTCCCTAGGGTAGAGTTTATAGGTAATTTCTTAGTTTTGGCATCATTGGAAAGTACCTCCTCTGTACAGGAACCACGATTTTGAAACTTAATTGATTTTCCTTTATATATTTTTGGGCTGCAAATTTGAGAAATGTTTTTGGTAGAATCTTTAAATGACAAAGCTTCAGAATCTGACAGCCTTTCTTTTATAAGAGATTCTCTTTTTTTAGACTTTTTCCTGACTGTCTTTCCCTTGTCACAGGCAGATTTAATGAGTTCTGGAGCAGAATCCACAAAAAATTCTTTTACCTCTGGATACTGAGAAGCATAAAAGTCTCTTAGCATTTTCTGTCGTTCTTCTGATGTGGCATTAGCTATATGTTTAGCAAATTCCTTTATAGGAGACAAATTAAAATAAGAAGCCATTTCTTCAAATTGTTTTCTGAAGATTTAATGAACAAAACCAGTGGTTATTTTTATTACATTTTATTCTTAAGAACTTGTCATCAGTGATATGAAATGCAGAGACAAAGCAATGTCATCTTTTCATTTAATGTATATTAGCTTAGTTCTATAATGAAAATGAATTTTATGCTACCTGAGTGTGACCTCTTTTCTTACACTACTGAAAAAATATTTTAGCCCATGAAATTACCAGTTTTTTAGGTTATACAGATTTATACTATTGGGCATTTCCTGGCACCTGTGGGATCCCAGGATGCTCTCCACCAGTCAGCCAATTCATGACTGACATGAGAATCATGACTTACATAATCTACATTTGAAAATCTATATGGCATTCAAGTACCATGAAATAAAACTGCCTCAAAATGATCTTAATAGCAAAGAGAAAATTCTGAAAAATTAAGTAGAAACTTCCAAGGAAGTGGCTGAAGATCATGAGGGGTCCATCAGCCAACTTCAGAAATTTGAAATTTATCCTGCACCTGCCAGAGAACATTTAAGGGTAAATAATGATCTATTTGTAATGACTGTAAGTAAGAGCTTTAAAGCCATGACTATTTTGCCTCCAGAGCAGGAGCAAGAAGTTGGTGCATCGCCTTTGACCTTCAGCAGCGATCCGCACGGCATGCTTATGACTCTCTGGGGCTTCAGATGGCTGCGCTGGCGTCTAGGCACCAGCACACCGGCCCTGTAACTGTTCCAAGTCCAGATATTATCTAATGCTGATCAACAGCTCCTCTCACTGCCAGGAGAATATTTAATAACACAGATACAAGCTTCCAAATTTCTGTCCTGAAAACAGCCAATGTTCTTGTTGGAAAGCAACAGGCATGTTCTTAAAAGGTTCCAGTTTTCACTCCACATGAAGCAATGAGGTGTTATTATTTTATTGATCATCTCCAAATCCATTTTCATGGCCTTTTCAGTAAGTATTTGTGCTGTGAAGATTACGTTACTGGCAAGGTTACAGGCTGTGGTCTTTTACTTATCCAGGACTAGTGGTGTCTCAGCGGCTGTCCAAGTCCTGCCACCTCGGTGGTGCTGAGCTTACCCACGACCCTGCGGCCTGTGCCCTCTGGGAGGAGCTGCTTCCGACAGACTTTATCTATGTTACGCATGTTCATTTGGCCTTGCTGCTGCTCTTGATGGGCTGAGTTACAATTATGATTCATTTCATTTTTTGCCTTTTATATTGCTTTAAAGGAATTTTCTTTGGACACCTAAAGAACTGCAAGGTACAACCAGTGGACAAAAACCACCTGGTGTGGAAACTAGCAAACTGGAGTAGATACTCATAGCCTCTCAGAGGAGGGCAAAGAAAGGGAAACCGAAGTTGGGTACCACCCGGCAAGCGCGTCAGGTGTCACAGGTACAGCTCATTTCCCTGCTCTGTGCCCGAGGGACTGAGGGAGAAGAGGCGGGACAGTTAAGCTGGCATCCCCACCTATGCTTCCCGAGGTGAGGAGGCCGAGGGCTTCACTCAGGGCCTGCAGGCTGCAGCCTGACACAGATTCCCCATCCCATAACGCAGGGTGGTTAGCAGAGACAGGGGGTCAGCAGTCCCCCACTGCTCCCCAGGTCAGATGCTGGCATTCCAGTAGCAGACCCCCTTTACCTGCTCACCTACGCGAGACATTTGTTCCCTAGGCTAGGCAGAGAAAGGAGGAAGACTGGCAAAATGAATCATTGTTTATACTTGCATTCTATGGAAAGGGTCCAGAGGCATAAAGACACTGTGCTCCTCAAAGATGGGTAAGATGTATATGGTCAGCCTCCTGGCAAAATGACTGCCCACAGTCAGTTGCCCAATTTGCCCCAAATTGCTATGAATCTGTGAGGACATGTGTTGCCCCAGCAGTGTGGGGTGCTCACCTCTGGGCACTGGCTCACCTTTCTGAGCCACGCCTCACCTGGGCACCTGAGATGCTGAGGGACCAGCCCTGCCTGGGCAGCTAAGGGGCCAGTTGCTGGGAGCTGCCAAACTCCGGAGGGAAGAGACAGCAACACACAGCCCCCACTTCCCAGGCTCTGTCTGCAATGGGCGGGCATCAGGACCCATCCGGCCCTGCCTCCCATCCCTGCTGCCCCAGGCACTAGGCCCTGGTTACCTATATCCACCTGCCTCTCACCCCCTCCTAGTTTCTACGTCCCTGAGCTAATCTAATACCCTGTCCTTCTGGCCCACTCCTTGGGGATCCTGGAGCCAGGCTGTGATCTACCAGCGCCCGTGTCCCCTCTGTCCCTTCATGCTGCTGCCTCCTCCCGTGCAGACCTGGCAGGTCCCGGCTCTTCTACCTCACACCCTGAAACCTCAGGGTTCATGCTTCACACTGCTGCACCTGAACCAGTGTTCTTTTAAAAATGCCTCCCCTCTTTGAGGTCTGTGCTCGCCGGCTAAGCCACTCTCTCCCCTATGCTGTTAACTGACTCTTGGTTGCTTCCCACTAGTGACAGGACACTCCCCATCCTGGGTCAATGTTGCTTCCTTTCCCACTGCCATCACTCTTGAAAACATGTGGCTGTCCCACCCAACTCCTGGCCCACCCATTTCTTCACCTCCCCTCCAAAGACTCAATTCCCAGGGCATGAACGCCGCTGTCAGTGCCTTACTAGCACAGACTCCAGATCCCTGAATTCAGTCCTTACGCTCCAGTTCAACTGCTCAGTCACCCCCTTGACAGCACAGCCTAGAATATACTGTTGGCTTCCGCAAGTCCTCCTGCTCTTCGGCCCTGTCTCAACTGCCAGCCTCCCCTGGGCCAGCCTTGGTTCAGCTTTAGCCGCTCCTTCCCACATACCGTTCAGCCTCCTTGCTCCCTCCCTTCTAACCCCTGGGAGAACCCGGATGCCTCCCTCTCCTGTGTGCATGCGGTGACGGAGGCCGAGTGGGGTCTGCAGAACCGCAGACAGTCCTGCTGGAATTACTCTCAAACGGCAACATATTTAGCGTCACCCAGGAATGCTGGTCCCACCGAGCTTGCTTTCCCATTTATAAACGATTTATTTGAAAGCTTCTCTGTCCCCAAATTTCTCTTTCTGAACTGACTGTATTCCCAATTAACTGAGGACATAACACCATACCTGTCCTCATCCCTTCCTTTGAATTCCTCTCAACGGATGGACCTTCCCAAGGTCTGGATCCCACCCTGTCCTGCCCCCAGAATGTCGTCCTTTCTGCTGTCCTCCCTCTGGAACCATCTTCTTTTCCTTCAACACACACACACGAAGTCTATCATCTTCGGGTGTAAGGCACCTGCCCTTGGCGCACAATGCCCTCCAGCCCCTGCTGCTTCTCCCGTGGGGACCTGAGGCGTTGCCCACTCACTCCGCCCACCCGCCCTGGCGCTCCCCGTGGCTCGGACCACCCAAGGCCAGCTCGCTGCTGGCGGCTCCAGGAGGCACCTTTATGGTTCTCGGCAGCAGCTCGTCCCCTGTGAGACTCTCACTTCTGGACCTCAGGACCTTGCGAGGTGCCGCAGACCCAGCGGGCGGGCCGCTGCTGCCTCCGGGCTCAGCCCTGGGGCCTCCCCTCCCCTCTCTGTGCTGCGCTAGGCTGTTCATGTGCCCATGGCTCTAAACACTATTTACAGTCTCGATGCTGATGACTTCCAAATTTAGGTCTCCAGGCCCCCATCCCGGACCAGCCCAGTCACTCCCTATTGTATATTTCTGTAGAACCTCAGATTGATATGAGCCATGGAGAACTCTTACCTTTTTTTATTCCAAACTTCTCTCTTGCTTTTTTCCATTTAGTAATTCAATCTGCTGCTCACGTCAGAACATTGGAAATAATCCCGTCTTCTCTCTTTCCCAACAATTAATCCAACACCAAACTGAACTCTTCCCTGTGGCTGTCTCCAGGGCAACCACTCTACTGCAACCCCTGTCACCGGGACCGTATGGTACCCCCCACCCACTGGGCCCTACTGCACACCAGAGCCAGACAGTCCTCTAAAACATGCATAAGAGCACGTCATGCTTCAGGAGCTTTCCACTGCACCTGGAACAAAATCCGAACTCTTTCCAGAACCTCAAGGCTTTGCTGCAGCCCATTTCCATCCCTGCCTTCACCTCATGCCACACTCTGCTTGGCTTTGCATGCCCTAGCCCACCAGTCTTTTCTCAGCTGCCCCAAACACTCCACACCTCTTCCTGCCTCAGGGACGTTCTTACGCCAGCCCTTTGCTTGCTTCTCCTTCAGGCCCTACTTAAATGTCGCCTGTGCAGCAAGGTCTTCCCCGACTGCCCAGAGAGGCAGCTGTGCCCCTCCGGGTCCCATCATTATTCAGCAAGGCCTGTCCACTTCTTTCTTATAACACATCACTTCATAATTTTTTTTTTTTAACTTACGAAAATCCCATTGCACTGTAAGCTCTACGTCTGCCTTGTTTTACTGTATATCCGGCACACAGCACAGTGCCTGGGAGCATGTTAGGAGATCAATAAATATTCAGTGCATGCATGAATGTAATGCACTTAAGTATTTATCTGTATAAAATGATTTCATTTTTATCAGTTTAGGAATTAGACTTCTAAAGACATCTAAAAGCATTAGCAATTTGCTTTCTAAAGTATGCAACTTTAAGCTTGCTGAAATACTCAGATACCAGATACATTAAAAATACAAATAATCTACATTTTACTAAGTAGCTATACTTCTTTTGACATAACTGTTACAGTGTTGTTACGACCACATACCTGCGGACCCCCTTTGGTGTCTCTCCAATTATGAAGGTGGTCTGGCCTCTGCAGAAGACTTTTTTCTTCTTCTGGCTCACAGGGTGTGAAACATAAAGGGGAAATGAAAGGCTTCCTTCATGTGGCTGTTGGCTTTTCTCTGTTTGTGTCAATGTATCTGCCTCCATTTTTTCTTTACATGTCTGAAAAAAGGGAGGGAAGTAAAAGCTAAGTCTGAAAAAATAGTCATTTTTGGTCAAATGAAGAGACAGTCTTATTTTTTCCTGATACTCTTTATGGTCACATGTAGAGCATATTCTTCACTGATATTACTGTCAGAGAATGTTAACCTAGGTCTTTAAAAAGAAGAAATGTCTTTCTGAAAAATACCAAAGTAATGGCAACACTATGTTTCCACTGTATCTCTGGTTTAAGCTATTTGTTAAATATATATATTTCTTAAAGATACAATAAAGACAATGGCAGTAATATGATACCTCTACTGCCAAGACTGTGGGCATACTGACACACATGCTAACATCCACTATTCTAAGTAAGGATAAAAATTAATTATATAAAGGATGGCATAAAAATGGGATATTGAAACTTTAAATTCAGGAATTTTTCTCAACATTGTTGAGCAGATTTTCAGTTATTTAATTTTATTCAAATAGTCAAACTTCTAACAAATAATAATCTTTATGTGATAATTAAGAAACTGTCTTTCTAAATCCTACTTTTCAATCTCTACTCAGTTGCAAGAATAATCAGTGATTTTAAGATGTGAACTACAGTTGGTTGAAATTATAGATAAAATCCTATTTGTTTTATAGACTACGGGTTGCTTGCTTAACATAAAATGTTAAAAACAGTGAATCAAGAAAAAATAATTTTAAACTATATTGTTCCAATTTCCCTGACAGGATGGTATGCTGAATATGTGGAAAGTTCCTATCCCATTCCAAAAAGAGAAATAACTGGATACAATTTGACAGTAACAACAAAAAAATTATATTGGAGCTTAAATGTGAGAAAGGAAAATCTCTAGGTGCCAAGAATAAAGCAGCAACATAGCGGTGAGTGGTGGCCAAAGGTCAGCAGTCCCCAAGGATGCGGTCCTGAGTCACAGTCTGCAGAGCCTCACGTGTAGATGGGAGATGGAAATGGGTGCATTCCCTGCACTAAGAACAAACAAATAAGCAAACACCGTGAGGACTTAAAGCACATCTGATTTTCAAATTAAAGCTAGGAAAGCCCAAACTGGGACACAGGGTAGAAACAGGCTGTTTTCTTAGTCTAGAAAGAAAGAATTCCTGGTGAAACCATGGACTGCCCAGCCTGGGCCTTTTGTAGAATCTGATTTTGTAGCACCTGGGTGGTATGGAAAGGCTGAGCTGAAAACCAACATAAACAACTAGCCCAGAACCACTGAAAACCATAGAAGGGTGGGTACAGAAACATATCATGGGAAGACTTCCATAATCCATATAACGCTTGTGATTCCCATGGGGGGAGAAAGGAATTTAGGCAAAATTTATAAAGAACATACAAAACCCATGAAAGTGGGCAGATGCAACAAGTGCAGGAATCCATATCTGAGGAATTACAGAGAATAAGGTAATTTGAAAGAGAGACTCTAAATCATTAGCATATCTAAGAAATGGGTATTACATAGGCAGATATGAGAAAGAACCAAATACAAACTCTGAAAAGGAAATACTTTTAAAATAAAGAATAGAGATAGAAACAAACTGAAAATATGGCTTAAGTAGCAGACAAAGCAGCCCTACAATCATAATTGATAAACCGGTAGAATAAAATTACCCAGAATGCAGTGCAAAGATTTTTAAAAAAGAAAGAAAATAAGAAAGAGAAATTAAGGGAAGTCATACCAAAACTTCTAAAACACTAGAGAGAACAGAGGAAATGGAACAGATAATGCCAAAGAGATAACTCCAGAGGATGGAAAAAGGCATGAATCCTCAAATTAAAAAAGGGGGGAGAAACTCTAGTGGGAAAATGAAAATAAGACTGTACCTTGTTACACAGATAGACTATCTTCAAAACTACCAGAGAGAAAAGGTAAGATATCCCTCACAAAAATGATAAACTAAAGGCCGACTTCTCATTAACACAACTACCACCAGAAGATAATGAGATAATAGCTTCAACATGGAGAAAAAATGACTGTCAGCTTAGAATTCTATAACCAGTTAAATTGTCATCTAAGACATTTTCAGACATAGCAAGACTAAGTTTACAAGACACTGATTCTTGCTGATGACAGTTGTTTTCTTTTAGAGGAGTTTGATGGATTGATGAATGTGGGTAGGGATGACTTTTCATTCTACAAACACTTACTAGGTGCCTATTACCTAGGGTCCTGCCACCATACCATGCAGCTGAAAACAGAGATACCTACATGTACTAAGTGCTCCCACCCTTAGGGGGCTTAAAAATGAAAGACCCATGTTTTCAAAAGATAGCACAGTTAGTTTTCTTTTTAAAAATAAGCCATTTATCTCTTCAGCTTATATTCAGATTCATTTTATTGAAGTAAACTTACGACAAAACGTAAGATGTAACTGTACGTTCCTGAGTAGCAAGCCATTTCCAATGAAAATAAATTGACTTCATCAAAATCTACTGAAACTCAGACAGATACAAAATGTTGACAGTACTTTGCTTAAAGACATAATTTCTTGAATCTTAAAACATTACTAATAGAGGAAAATGCTGATCTTTAAAGAAATTTGAAAGGGATCTCATGCATTTATTTTACATCACAAGAAGACAAGATGAATGTTAAAACTTCTTAATAAGAAGGCTTATCACCTTAGTTGATTCCCAAGAAATAACTACCCATTATTGTAAGAAAAGATGGGGATGTTTACATGAGAGTAAAGACAGTAAACAGAAAGAGAAGGAACTGGGCCAACCAAGAACACCCCCTCCTCACACACTCAGTTTCTGAAGCCAGGCAATGGCAATTTTCAATTATTTACATAATCACTCTGGGTCTTTCTGACTCTAGAAGCATTACAAAGCTCCAGCTTTTCAAACCACAGCTTACTAGACATGTACATCTTTAACTTCTGCCAAATATTCTACATTTTAAAACCTGATTATTTTAGATAATGGTAAAGGAAAATCACTTTTTTCTCACATAATCTCAAAGTCCTATCCTCTATTAAAAAAATCAATCTAGGTTCAGATTTTCATTTAATAGGGTATTTTAATACTTTACTGAAATAAAGAAGCTGTGAAACAAAATTTTATTAATTTAATAAACATTTTGGTTCTCTTGTTATAAAAGCTGGTTTCACTACTTACCAGTAAGAGTCCTTTTCGATAACTGATACAAGGAAAACAGTGTCATAGTGCAATTGCAATTGGCAGTTATAATTTATTATAAAGCAGAGTATAAGGTCTGTGATCAAGATGAAAAGATTCTAGATTATGTAAACTGGACTCCAGCTCATTCATTAACACATCAAACCTGTGAAGTCATATGACACTGAGGTAATTCCATTCAAAGCTACAATAATGGAGGCTCAAGTAAGTAATGGAAAATTAGTGGACTAGGAATTTAAAAGATAATACTGTCCCTCATTAACATTAGGAGAGAGGGTGAGATTGTTTGCTCAAGAAAGCAAAACAAATCTACACCTTTTTGTCTAGAAGGAATGGCCAATAACTGGAATGCTATGTAGCATTTCATAGGAAATTTTGGATCATGATATGAAGAAAGCAGAAATGGAAGTTTCTGCAAAAGCCCCTAGTTTCTTCAAAATTATCCATCAAGATTTGCCTTGAGGAAGAACCTCTATGGTCTGTGTTTCTGATAAAGTTTTCCTTCATCTTAAGAGTTATGATTCCAATAAGGAAGGAATTGTGAAGACAAGAACTTTGTACAGTATTTACACAGTATAAATACTTACGCTATTAAGTACTTTAGGAAACTTGATACTGTTAGAATATAATTTATGACTTGTTCATGATTATTTCCATAAATTATTGGGTATTATTCGATATTTCTACTATACTATTTGTATGAAAAAAATCAAATTCAACTTATGGAATCTGTATTAGAAATAAAACTTAATACATGTGAGGAATACAGTAATCATTTCTGCACAATGTAAACATACAATTAAAAATCCATTTGATGATTAGATTGAATGGAAATGGGAGTTACTTAAGAAGCTGGATTTATCAGATGGTACTGAAGTAATAATTCTCATCTATGAGAAGTACTATGTCCTTCTCTTTTGGACATATGCATACTGTGTGGAGCAGTCTGTTGAGAACTGGAAAGTAAGAGAAAACCGTTCTTCTTTAGATCACAGTTAAACTGTTCTAAAAAGGTAAAAGGCAGGCTATGGCTGATTATGTTAGTCCTAATCTGATGTATATAATTAAGAATTTAAACATGATATGCTATCTTTATGAAAGTCACTATTTCTTAAAAATAAAATCCAAAACATAAAAAATTGTTTAAATTCAACTTAAACATTAAATATGGATTATTTCTATAAATGGTAATTATCTTAATATATTTTGGCCAAACCTATCCACAACTAAATGTTTAACTTGGAAATGACTCATTTAAAAAAACTTCGTATCAGCCTTGATTTAATTTTGATAAGGTTATAAAATCATCAGTGATTTTTGCTAATGTATCTGTAAAATGTGTTTGAAAGTATATCATAAGAATTACTATTTAAATATGTATAATGTACAAATTCTTCAAAATAAAAGCTATAAGTTGTAGAAGGTATACATTGGGGTTATAATAAATAAGAGGGCACTTTCGTAGGGAAAAATTCCTTCTTCTAAGAGTAGTCAAAATGAATCCACACTAGACCAAATCAACTGTATATAATCCTGTACAAGTTATTTCTTTCTGTGACGTTTTAGGTTTACATTGATTCTACCAGGAAAGTCTCTTATCTTTCAGCCAATAGTATGAAATATTCAAATGATCTTTGATAATAGATATTCTTTCTTTTTCCTTTGAACCAAAAGAATACTGTCTGTACTTCGAGGCATTAGGTTTAAACCAACTTAAATTATTTTAATTGAACTAATAGTTATTTTTTGAAAGGCATTACTGAGAAAAAGAGGTAAGGTATATACAGATTTTCAATATGAAAGAGCAAGAAAAATTAAAATTGACTTTCACAAAGTTTATAGACAGCAA